CCACATAATGGATTCCCGAGTTGTAATGGTATCAGGGATTTTGGATATTGTCAATTGGAGGATTATTTAATTATTTATTTATTTAATGAGTTATTATTTAGTTTCATTTTCCACTTATTTATTTATTCTTAATTATTCTTGTACTCTATGCTTGTTTATATACTTAATTGTTTGGTATCATTCAGATCTGTGCTCGGACTTGATCACTCGTGACTCTAGAATGGAGGGATATCACATAAACAAACACAGAATACAAAAGAATATAAGAATAAATAATAAAGCTGAAAAGATAACTAAATAATAAACCTTCATTAATTAATCCAATAAAATAATCCTCCAATAGTCCAAATTCTCTAATACCAGTAACCATCTAGATTATAACTCGAGAATCCGTCATGCGGACCCCTAATCCAAAACCTAACTGAAACTGAAATAAAACTAAATCCAAATACTAAAACATAAAGAAATCCTACGTAGAGTCAGAAGAATGAATAGACTGTCTCTGTTCAGCACGAACAATCTCTGAGCCTGAAACTGACGAATACCTGTAAAATAATGGTGGGTTAGGCTCACAAACAAGTTCTAATCTATTACATCCCAAACAGAGACCCGATACACGTATGCATCCTAGTTAATTCAACAATAACTAAATAGTCCGTATATATACATAGATACACACTAAAGGACTCTTACTAGACTATAAGGCGGCCTCAACCTGAATAGTAAACAACATGCAAAATGCACATAAAGTGGACATGAGTATGTAAACCTAATAAGGCACACAACTATCCATTATATCCAGCTATGCATCCCATTGCATGTATGCTCCTTAACCACTGATCTTGAGACTCAAGCTCATATCATGACACATATCTATGCATATATAAAATCCATCATATCCAACATAAAAGGAAACTATCCAACCATGTTATTTCAATGGCATGTCATCCAACTGGTTCTGTGGCCTGACATGAAATAGGTAGGACTTAACTTTTTTTAGTTAATCCATCCCTAATATGCCCCCATATCCTGACAAGGATGCATAAATCCATACAATCAATAATTGATGCAATACAAATAATTACACATCAAAACAATCCAGAATTAAGTATAATCAAAATCAGTTATATACATTATCATATTATACTAACAACACAAGATTAAAATCATATACACATCCTTACAATTGCTAGATTAAATTTAAGCAATTATATTCTCCATTAACAATATGCAAATCAATTAAATTCCATATTGTTCAAACCCTTAGCATATTAACATTAATCATGCATTCCAAATCCTCCATGAATCTATTTTAAACAATTTAAAACATGTAATAACAGATTCAAAGCTTCAATTCAATATTCTAGAATGTCCCAACAACAAGAATACAGTATATAAACACGATCTCAACATTGTAAACCACAATTCATGCATCAATTCATTAAATCATGCAAAAATTATACAAACCCATTAACATATAATCCTACTTTATAAATCTGATTTTTACATGTAATTAGGTTTATTAATTAAATTTAAAAATCCTGGAATTAATCTAGACATGTATAGAACACGAATCAAATGAAAAGAATAGAGAAGAATGGTGTGCCCCTAGGGGTGTGCTCAAAAAGAGAGGAGTGAATAGTGGCACCACATTTAAAAATAGTGACACCACATTTAAATATTTATAAAACCACTAGACACTTATATTATGTAGTTTGAAGTGAGAAGGGATCGTCCCAAGAGATTGTAAGGGTATTTAGAATAAAAGTCAGATTAGTAGGCCAAGTGATCAAAAAAGTGGTTTGGTTTAGTTACTTAAATTATGATTAACTAAATTAAGTAATGGAAGAAGAAGCAGGCTAAATAAAGTAGGGTGTAGAGAATATGAGAGAGGTCTTAGGGCATGGGAATCACCACTAAGCTCTTCCTGTAAACCACTAGACTTTAACAATTTGGCGGAAGATCAATGTTGTAAACAAGGTGTATGCTACTAATTGAAACAATGATCATGGATGACAAAAACAAGTATAAACTGTTTACTTAAGCTAAGATGTAGTACAACTCATCAAGTTAAGGCATGAACCATTCAATAAATCCACAATTGTAGCACATATTAATCTAGAGAATCATACAACTTGTAACAATAAGAATGAAATATCAAATACAAACATTGATTGTCCACCTACCTAGGAATTGAAATGCAATTACACTACAATTAAACTAAGATAAGGAAATTAAGACAATTAATCTAAAGATGGGGCACAATCCATCAAGTATGAGCATAAACCATCATATCAATCAACAAGTGTAGCCAATAATAATCATGCATAACCATCACTAGATTTTCAATTTAATCACATATAAACATGCATCAAATCTAGAGAAACCAGTGTATAAACATAACCCTCAATTTAATCACACATAGATATGCAAATAAACTAGAGAATTAATTAGAAGATTTGAACCATACAAATCATAAATAAAATCAAGATTTATAATCACAATGTTAAAACATTCATTACAAAGAATCCCAAAAAATCTCAAAGATCTAGAGTTTAGAGTACGAGCCTAAACCCTAAGAAGATGTTTAGCCACTCATGGATGTGGTCTTGCAACCCTCAAGGGCTATCTTCAAGCTTGGAATCATCTTCTTCGTCTTGGTCTTCTTAGTAAAAACCCTAAGGATGATGAAGATCTTGCCTCTTTTCTTGCTCAAGAACCCTAATTTCTAGAGAGAGAAAGTATGTCTAAAGATTGATTTAATTGTAAAACTAGCTAACAATTCTTGAAATAAATTGTGGAACCCCTAACAAATGGTTCAATTTGATTTAAATACAAGCTCCTTGAAGTAGTAAACAAGTAAGAAAATGGCCTTCTAATTTGTTCAATCTCACAGCCATGTGATAGGTGAAGTTCGGGCGGAGTCGGGAATAAAACAGCTCACTGACAGTAAGGGTGGCGATCGATTGCCAACTTCTGCAATCGATCGTAGATGACGTGGCATTCTTATCTTGACAACTGGCAACCTTATCCGCTTAGCTGGCGCTGACGTGGCACTGCGATGGATCACCAATTTCTACGATCAATCCTCATTTCGAACGAATGATAAGGTGGCAGTCTTATCCCTTTGCTTATGTAGCCTGTGATTGGTGATGTGGCAGCGATTGATCGTGATAAACCTGCGATCGATCGCTAATGCTCAAGTGCACATTTTTTTAGATTCTCTGCTCAACTCCAAAAAGGGCTGAATAGGCTGTTTTTAGCCCATTTGAACCTTGTTGACCTGAAATAGACAAAAACAAGAATTAGAACTAAAACGGGAATGTAAGATAGATGAATGGACTAAAATACCCTAACTTAGGTGCTAAAATGTGCAACATTTGAGCACTTATCACACCCCCAAACTTAGATATTGCTATTCCCTAACAATGAACTACAAAGTAAGGAAAGAAATGAACAACTATACAACTATAAACTAGAAAGTAATAAAAGGATAATGCCACTTTTGTATGGATCACGGTTACATTTAACATATCTAACAAGCCTTTTAAACCCCTATGTTACCTTTAGTAGGTGAGTGAAGTCTCGTGAAGGTTTTCAGAAATGATACCCACAAACATTAAGCTCTTTCTCACTAAAGATGCACCAGCATTCCAAATAAGCATTGTATGAAAATTACCTCAAGTATGCCATTTTTCAGCAATCTCTAAGTAATTTCCAAAATTCCAACAAGCAGCAAGCAAATATAGTCTTCCACACATCAAACAAGATAATCATGCAAATCAAAACAACTCTAACATCCTTTTGAGTGAACCGGCATCAAATATGTTATTATCTTAGCAAATCAATAAAATAGGCATAACCAGTCTCAAACTAGCACACAAATCTAGTACCAATCATCAAGACAAAGAATGAACCTCTTTATTCCATTTATTTCCTACATGCTCTCTTTTTCTTTCTACTTCAATCTTTTTTATTTTTTATTTTATTTATTTTTTTATATATATATGGGATCAAAGATAAGAGTATTGTGCAATGTAGTGATCTTTTAAGCTTTTTAAAAGATCCATTTAACAAGCGTTACATCAATAACTCCCAAACCGGACGACTTTAGGACATTAGGTGTAAAGACACCCCTAAAGACTTACAAGCTCAAATCATCTAGGTTACAAATCAAAACAAATCTCATCATGTCATTTCCCTACTCCCCACCTTTGGTGAGAAGCACTCACTTTTCTTTTTTCTTTTTCTTTTTTTTAACTATTGTGTGGGCCTTTCACTTTTCGACGAAAGAATTCAATGCTTAATGAGGCGAGAATCCCGGCTACTCGGTAAAAAAGTTTGTTATTAGTATACAAGGTCATCTTGTCAAGAATGAAAGCTTTCAAAACTTACTAGCTCAATTAGGATATAACCAAGGCAATGATCAACTAAGCATGTACCCCATAAATGAATACTAGTGTGTGCATGTGCAAGTGTAGAACTTTCGAATCGAATCTCAAAGTAATCTCCTAAACAAGGTGATGTGGACCACAAAAGCAAGCATGATATCAATCTTTCGAAAAAATTTATTCCAAAATGGCATCCCAAGCATACAAGAAATATTGAAATCTCAAGTGAAGCAATTTTTAAATTCTAAGAAACATAGGCCTTTAAAGATCAAAATCATCGCTAAAACTCTCAATGATATCCCATGCATAGAAAATAAAGTATAACATGCTAAAACACTCCCAAACTTAATCTATACATTGTCCTCAATGTGCAAAGAGAATGACAGAAAGTGGAAAAAGTATACGGTATACCAAATGGGCGTAGCATACAGAACCTGACAATGGAAGCTTAGCATTGGAAGGCGTACCCCCAAACTTAGATACCAAAAACCTATCTAAAAATGATCACACTAGCAACTGTCAAAGCATATGCATCAAGTGATAAAAATGAGAGATATAAAACTATGAATTGAATGGACATAAAATCATGCATAAAATGAAAGATCAAGATATCAAAGTATATCATGCATATATCGAATCAAAAATATCCAAGGCCTAAATATCCAAAACCAGGCAGCATATAACAATAGTATAAATCCCCAAAAATCATCAAGTATCAAATAGTATCAAAGCAAGTAAATGAGTGAGAGAGAGAGTGTAGAGTCATGGAATAACATCTGGTAGTGGCTCAAGCAGATCGATGATGTGCTGAAACATGTCTGTGACCTTGCCGCGGAAACTGGTCATCTCGGTACGGATCTGGGCAAAATCACTCCTGAGCAGTGCAATATCCCTCCTCGAATCGATGATACCTCTTTCAAGATCGGCAACTCTCTATACCATCCGGGTATCGAATGATCTGAACTCAGACTGGAGCTGAGTAACATTGCCTCAGAGACTGGAATCAGAGCTAGCATGCTGAGGGATGGGCCTGTCTGAGTTGCTAGAGGTGGAGGTGGAGCTGATGAAGTGCCCGTCTGAAACTGAGATGTGGTGGGAGGCTGGGATGTGCCGAAAATGGTGCGTTATCTCGACTTGGGAGCAGAAGAAGTAGGAGATCCCTCCTGTGAATCTAAAGTCCCAAGCCTCTTCATCACAGCCCTTCTCAGATTGGCCTGACATGCATTATAACTCTTCTTCCACTTGGTCTCGCTATACTTCTTGTTAGACTCCTCTGGCTTCTCTGTTGGGTCAAATGGGAAGCCCTAGTCTGCCAGAATATGTATAATCAAGCGGCCAAAAAGGGAGAGACCAGGACTTTGCTTTTTCATTCTATTTGAACACCAAGTTCTCTCAGTACTTATGGAAGATTTACCAGATAAGTGAACGAATCGACACCGAACATCCCATATTAAAACTGTACAGGGCCTTTAAAAACCCCTCCCACCTCTGAGTATTATGCCCAGATGGAAAGGCATTGCGAAATAACACCGTATCAATGAACCAAAGCCGGGATGGGATATCAACCCGCTCGCCATAGGTGTTACCTAAATAGGCTGTCTGAGGAGATAGAGATGCAACCATATCCAGATATGAAGGATACTCTAGAATAATTGGATACAAAGGCTACTTTGTCTCTGTGACCACTGCAGACATGTGGAGGAATCCGCAGGTTATCACTATGGAGACTGTAGAAATGATAATATCCCGCCCATCCACACTAGTGTGAAAGATCTGAGGGTCATCCTCATCCTGCCAGAGGTGCTGGTAGAATAATGCAACCAACCGGGGATACACCTTGCCGTTAAATAGTGTAAGAATGGCAGCAATGCCGCGCTAGGTGATCTCATCATAGGCCCACTTAGTCTGCTCAGACTGGGCAAAGAAATTTGTTTCAAAAGTATACTCCAGCTCCTGATCTCTCTCAGAAAAATATGGATCAGGCACTGCTCTGATAATGGGGCCCTCCAGATCCATAGATGGTGCACTGGAAGAAGATGTAGAAGAAGATGATACAGTCGCCACAAACTCAAATGAAAAAGACTCCTCCTCTAGAGATGGAGAGGCTGTGGAGGCCGGGTTACTTTCTTCCTAGCTAGTGTCTTTTGCCGCTGCATCTAGAAAAACATGTAAACATGAGTGCACAGTTCCAGAGATGAGATAAGTTTCCAAAAAGAAAACACAAAGCATGCCTGAATCAAGTAGAGACAGAGAATCGACATAAATGAATATGCTTGTGCAAGAAATTATCAAGAAAGCTTTAAGAATAGCATTCAAACCATTTTCTGGCATTTTATAACTTAAACATACTTCAACAGAACAAGAATGGATCATGACACATCTAAACAATCTTAAGCATGCTAAGTGGTGCATTGGTAGCAAAGAGGGATCATATAAAGTCACTTTTGAAAATATTTTTGCAAGAATGAGACCAATGGGACAAGTATAGGATGTGATGTGCACAAGACATGCAACGTGAGTTCACAAACCTAAGACTGAAGAAGATTTTGCAATTTTAAAACAAGTAGACCCTAGGATGATATCGTATCATTTCCTAAGCAAGAATCTCTATAATTTCAACATTTAAGACCAATGGAGCAAACATGGTGACATGGAGGAAACAAATCATGGCAAATGTCTATTTAGAACTCAAGAAGCATGTACATCACGAAATAGAGAATAAGTGGAATGCATGGTTGCAAACATTTCAATCCTAAGCATGTTTTGATACACAAGTTCAAAGATGAATTCTAAACATGGTATGTAACCTATGAAGCATTTTAGAGATGATTCACAATTTTCAAAAGCCAAACTCCATTCACAAAAATATCCCATCCTCGATTTTCACAAAATCAACAACCTACGGTCACTCTAGGCTCGTGACCCCCTCTAAGCAATATAAAGAACAAAAATAATCACTTGTGACTCGCGACCCCCTTCTTATGTAAAATTGAAGCATACAATGGTTTAGAATGAGAAGGATGAGAATCTTACCCTTTTTGTATCAAAACAATGACCGGCGAAGCCAAAGATGCCACTTTGATCTCAAGCCCTTACATGCTTTTTAAGAATGAACCACAAAGATATAAGGTAAGTAAGATGACATTTCATGTTCAAATTTGCTAAACTTAACCACAAATGAAAATTTGTTTCAAGTTTAAACACATTTCATATCAAGACAACATTCCCCCCAAACTTATTTCAAATGGTATTTCCAAACTACAATTCAATACCCACCAGTGTGTACTAAGGCCAAGCAATGACAAGATATCCTAGAAAGGCACTTTTGAACTTAAAACATCCAATTTCCCCCAAACTTATTCAAAGATCCATGAATTATGATTTTGCAACAAAGACGTATTCAAAGATGCAAACAAGCTTTCAAAACCAACAATGTGACAAAGGTATGTGCAATATATGATGAGTATTTACAAGCAAAGAAAATTGCATTTTATTCCAAAAGCACAATATTTATTCCAAGAGAAATCACATTAGGCCAATTTAAAGCTTATTATGCAACATCACAACATTTGACTTCAAAAAGTTGGGTTCAAGTTGACATTTCATCACATTTTTCAAGAAAATTTCAAGTTTCGACAATTTAGCTCAAAAGATATCAAATAGATGCCCTCACATGGCAAGAATCAAGAATTGGACAAGAACAAACTCAATGGCACTTGAAATATGCATTTGGATGAAGATAGAGCAAATGAAATAAGTTCAACTCATTTAAGGACATTTTGGACAACTTTGGAAAATTTCAACACTTTAGTTCACAAAAAGAAAATTTTAAAGCGACTTTGGAGTTCTAGCATTCACATGCATTGTAGATAGCGACTTTGGAGTTCTAGCATTCACATGCATTGTAGATAGGTATTCTAACAAAAATCATCCATTGAAACATTCAACAATTTAAAACTCAACTTCACATTTCAAATCCAAAGTCTAAAACTCAATTTCAACTTTTGAAAACCAACGACTTGTTCACAAATGAGAATTTCCAATTTTCAAAGATCATTTACCAAAAATTGCACCTTAACCATGAGCATATGTCAATTTAAGTCCAAAATATTGCAAAAAGTTCCATTTCAAAACACTTTCATGCTTTTAGACTTGACTTTTCATTTTCAAGACTTAAGAATACAAGTTTCAACCTCAAGTCACATATTCATGCATTTAACAACTTGGCACAATCATCCATGTAGTTCCACACTTAGGCTTTAACAAATGAAATAAAATTAGGGAGCATGCTCACAAATTATCAATTCAAGAATGCATATCAAACAATTTCCAAGAATTTTTCAAGAATTTTCAACATGGTTTCCTTTTCCTAAACAATCTCATTTCAATTTCAATTCAAATTTTCAAATCCAATTTCCATTACTCAATTCAAAGTGCAAACAAGTAATATGAGATTAACTTTACAATTGATCCTCAAATAACGTCTCACAATTTCACTTTCCATTTTTCAATTCATGCTTCACAAGGACAACAATTCTAATTTCCATTTTTAGAAATTTAAGTGCAATAAGCAATATGAGATTAATTTTTCACATTTCAATTTCAATGCACACTTCCATTCCAATTTCCAATTTCCAATTTTTTAATTCAACTTTCAACAATCCTAAAATTTCATTCTTAACAATCAATTTCAACTCACATACATCCTTTGATTGCACAACTTCTCTCAATTACATTTCCATAGTGACTTAAAAAACAGACTATGTGTGCATATCAAATAGAGTTTTCAAAATGTTCAACATACACAAAAGTCACAGCCTTCACCAAGCACAATCATAGATATTTAGATATGCCAAAACAGTTGCAAATTCCTCAAAATTGTAAACCCAAAGCAACTCAGTTACATATAGTTGAAGTTTAGAAATTACAGCCTCAATTTTCAATTCACAGAATTTACATTAACACAAAGCAACAAATAATTCCAACAAAATTTATTCACAGTCCAACAATAAACTCCATATTGGATTTTGCCCATCCTCCATCAACAAAACAACAAAAACCAACACATTTAAAGCCCAAACTCCAACAAAAACAACACTGCCCAAATTCCATTCACATTCAATAACATAACACTGCCCTTTCTCCATTCAAAAATGCCTAACCTCCTTTTCAACATCACAGTGTAAATACAAGTGAAGTCGCAGATCCAGAATTCAGTCCAAATAATCTCAGTCCAATTTTTTTAGTTTTCTAGTTTTTCATTTTTTCATTTTTTTTTTTTTTTTTTTTTAATCATGGATGCATATATGTACATAAACATGAAATTATAAAACAAGAAAATAAAATGAAAAACAAAACAACAAAAACAAGTAATGGACATACCCGAGATGAGAAGATGATCAAAAGAGATGAGACTTTGGGAAATTTGGGATAATTTCTGGCCTAACAGTGGCCGGAGATGATGAAGAAGATCTGCCGGAAATTGCAGAAGACACCGGCAGTTCTCCATGTCGTAGATCGGCCAGAGAAAGAGGAGTAGAGAGAACCCCGAGACTGGAGAGAGAAAACCGCGAGAGGCTAGGCCGTTAGGCCAAGAGCTCGCCGGAGAAAGAAGGAAGCTTCGCCGGAGTTGCAGCGACGGCGGCGAAGGCCTGAGATGGCTTTGGCTGCAGGTCAAATGGGTCTCCGATGGGGAGATGAGAGATTAAGAAGATGAGAGGGATGAGGTGCGGCTAGGTTAAGGGTTTGTAAGGAGAGGGGTTTCGGTGAGGAGAAGATAGAGATGGAGAAGACAGGGAGGAAGAGAGAGAGAGAAAAAGAAAAGAAGGGGAGAAGGGGAGAATAAAAAGCAAAAATAAAAAGAAATTAGGGTTTAGGGACCTAAACAGCCAAAGCACGAGTGGGAACCAAAATTTAAAAATTTGATCAGTCATAGTGCGACCGATCGTACAACTGCGATCGTTCGCTTAATAGTCATGATTTGAAGAAGGAAATTCCGCTTCCAGTATGATTGATCGCTGGAATTGGTGATCGAATGTAAAGATTCACGGAGGATCAAAGAAGATGAAAGGTCCCAGTGCGATCGATCGTCAAGATTGGTGATCGATCGTCAAGTTGACGAACGATACTCTGGAAGTTTGGAATTTTTGATACATAGGTGTGATCGATTGCCAAGGTTAGGGATCGATCATAAATACTTATGATACCGAGAGATGTTTTCAAGGCAAAAATGGACTTTGCAAACGGCGAACGATCACAGGATTGGAAATGCTAAGAACGTCCCGAAACTGAGATGGAACATTTGAAACTTACCTGGACGATGCCAAAAGATAACAAAAGAAGAAATGAGGGAGGAATAGTGTTTAAAGTATCCTGAGCTACTTAGCTCAGATCAAAAATCTTATTTGACATTCCCTTCTCAATGGGATGCAAGGCACTTTGAATCCCACCCAACAAACTATTCTATAAGGAATTTGTTAGAGTTGAATCAATGGCATGGGGTGGACCTCTATCAACACCCAAAGACGGACTTTTAGGTTCCCATTCCTTTTCAAACTTGGAATTTTGGGTAGAATCATTGGAAGGAAAGACACTAGACTTTGGTAACTCAACAATTGGTAGAACTTCAACCACTTTTTCAACAATTCTCTCAACAACATTGACCTCTTTATGCTTGTCAAAAGAGTTTGGGGTAGAATTAAAGATATTCAATTTTACCTTCATGTGCCCAAAAGAAATTTTTATTACCCCCGTCCTACAATTGATATTAGCATTGACGGTGGCCAAGAAAGAACGGCTAAAGATAATGGGAATTTGACTCTTTGGGTTGGCGACCGGTTCCGTGTCTATGACAATGAAATCAACCGGGAAAAAGAACTTATCAACTGTAATCAACATATCCTCAATGATCCCGCTGGGCTTTTTTATAGACCAGGCGGCAAGTTGCAAAACTACCGACGTGGGTTTCAAATCTCCCAAATCTAATTTAACATAAACCGAATAGGGAAAAAGGTTCACACTCACTCCTAAGTCCAAAAGAGTCCTATTGATAACATGATCACCGATGGTGCATGAAATGGTAAGAGAGCCGAGGTCTTTGAACTCTGGGGGGGGGGGGGGGGGGGGGTGTTATGTTGCAAAATATAACTTACTTGCTCGGTGAGCAAACCTTTTCTAGGTGTTTGGCTCTTGATTTCCTCTTTTGTGTGCACATGTCCTTCAAGAACTTTGCATGAGCCGAGATTTGATGAATGGCGTCAAGTAAAGGAAGATTCAATTTAACTTGCCTAAACACCTCAATCATTTCAATGATTTTTCCTTTTTGTTTCCCAAAAGATGAAGAAGCTTTCAAAGCTTGTGGAAACGGAGCCTTGGGCTCATAAGGCTTGTCAAAAGTACTAGATGGTGATGGTTTCTCCTCAATGTGATCCTTTGACCTAAGTGAAGTATGAATAGGATTGGAAACGGGACGGGTGCCAACACTTGGTTGCACCGGTTCACTTTCTTCACTAGTTGCTTCAACTTTGTCATCAATCACTCTTCCACTTCTCAAAGTGGTGAAATAATTCACTTGTTCATGTGTGGGACATCCTGATAGGGGAGTTACTTCCACCATATATTGAGTTTTGGGCTCGGGGTGAGGAGGCAATTTCCTTTTCTCCTTTGCATTCAAAGAGTTAGCTATTTGCCCTACTTGGGTTTCTAACTTTGCAATGGATTGAGAATGGGAATGAAGCAATTGAGTATTAGCCTCCAAGCTTCCCAAGGCTGACAAAACTTTCTCCTCAAAAGCGGAGTTCCTAGGAGGAACTTGAGAATAGGAATGAGAGTTACACATTTGAGGATTAGACGATTGGTTCGGATTAAAAGGAAGGTAAGATGGATGATACCCTTGAGAATTTTGATTTTACAAATGAGGGGGAACATACTTAACTTGGTAACCTTGATTTTGAGGAGGGTTCGCACCATCTCCTTGGTTTTTCCAAGAAAAGTTTGGGTGATTTCTCCAACCCGGATTATAATAATTTGAACATGGATTATTCCCTTGATTAGTGAAAGCGGCATTCACTTGTTCATGTTGCTCACTTTGAATATGTCCATGAGGACAATTGGAAGAAGTATGGGTGTAACTTGAGCAAGTCATGCACATCTCTTGACAAAAACAAGGAGAGGAAGATGCTTGATTGGCTGAGTTTTGATTCATTAAGAATTGATTAAACCTTTGAGTTAAGGTTTTAACTTCGGCGACAATGTCAATTGAACTCTCTGTTTGACATAAGTTAGAGTTCTTTTTCCCTTCTACATTGGAATTTTGAGCTAGGCGAGATGATAATGACCGATGCATAGAGTTTTCACTCATATTCTCAAATAAGTGCCAAATATCATCTTCATGCCTTTCTAAATAAGTACCTCCACACAAAACATCTACTATACCCTTATAGGTTTCGGATAAGCTTTTATCGAAGTATTAAACTAATTGCCATTTTGGAATGCCATGATATGGATACTTTCTTAGCAAATCATTCAATTTTTCCCATGCTACATGTAAAAGTTTTCCATCCCCTTAAGAAAATTCACGAATGGATGTGCGCATAACATTGGTTCTACTCGCGGGGTAATACTTCTTTAAGAATTTTTGTTGCATTTCTGCCTAAGATGTTATGGTATTAGCCGACAAGTTGGTGAACCAAGACTTGGCTTTGTCCCGAAAAGTAAAAGGGAAAAGCTTCAACCTTATTGCCTCTTCAGGCACATTCGTGTATTTTATGATGGAGCACACTTCTAAGAACTCATTCAAATGTTTATATGGTTCCTCATTGTTCAACCCAAAGAAAATTGGGCACATTTGAATAGTGGAAGGTTTAATTTCATAGTGATGCGCCCTAAAATTAGAGAGCCGGGTGCATGTCGGGGCATTATATTCATTTGGCACATAATGGTCTTTAAGAACCATTGGAGGATTGGGAACTTGCTGCTTTACTTGAGCTCCAAGAGGAACTTAACCTACGGGAGGAGGTGGTACAAAGATCTGCCTTAGCATTCCAAGAGGAATTTGGCCAACTGGTGGTTGTGGAATAAAAGGTGGCCTCACATTATTAGGTTACACAGTATTTGGATGGTACATGCCTTGTTGGTCTATATGACCAAGGTCCTCAACGTGATCTTCCATTGATGTAATGGAGTGATAAAAAATCGGAAGAATTTGACTAAAACAACCTCTACCCCTTGGATTATGAACGGCGGATTCAATATTTAGATTCAAAGGAATAAGGGGTGGATTAAGTGATCTTCGACCATGCATGCACAAAACAAGTCAACACACCAACAATAACAACAAATATCAACAACTTCTCTTCCACAACAACAATCAATCAACCTCCACATACGATGTTCCTATACTCCCATGCTTTCAACATTTAGAATAATTGGCCGTGTAATGACCCACTCCACCACATGGTATGATATTGTCCGCTTTGGGCCTGAACCCGCACGGTTTTGCTTTGGGCTTTACCCCAAAATGCCTCATACCAATTGGAGTGACACACCTACATATAAGCACTTCACATTTTCCTCTCCCAGGCGATGTAGGACTTGTGCACCAGTAGCTCGCCAGTGTAGTAGCCTGACAGTGTCTCTCGCACTTGCCCACGGCACACCCGCACACAGGGTCATCACAATCCACCCCCCTTGGAGGCCCGACGTCCTCGTCAGCACATTTTCGGTTGGGTCAGGCTCTGATACCATTTGTAACGACCCACTCCACCACATGGTATGATATTGTCCGCTTTGGGCCTGAGCCCGCACGGTTTTGCTCTTGGGCTTTACCCTAAAATGCCTCATACCAATTGGAGTGACACACCTACATATACGCACTTCACCTTTTCCTCTCTCAGGCGATATGGGACTTGTGCACCCGTAGCTTGCCAGTGTGGTAGCCTGACAGTGTCTCTCGCACCCACCCACGGCACACCCGCACACAGGGTCATTACAGGCCGCGACAAGGATCGATGTTTTGATAATTAAAGTAAAAGGCCTCAACAAGGACCAAAGCACAATTAAAATAAATAAGTTCAAGATACGCTCACAAAGTTCCCAAGCAATAACAACTTAAGGATACGAAAGGCGGCATGGGCCGGATCCAACCCACATGATGAATAATGGGCCTGGTAAATGACCTGGACCCAAATCAAGCTGTCATCAGGCAAGCCCAATGTTGAAGAGTGAAGCTGGAGGCCCTTAAAGGCAATCAGGCCCATGGTTATAAAAGCCTCGAGTATAAGACCAATGGAGGAAGTTAGTTAGGAATCTTCTAGAACACTGTAAACAATCTATAAATAGACAAAAAATAGAGGAGAGGAGGATCGAAATGTTTGAAGTGTAACGAACCTCTGTCAATTTAGAGAGAGAAAATTATTGCATCTTCAATGGCGCCGTCTGTGGGAACCGATGAGGATTGATTGGCGTTTGATTTAGATTGATTCGATCTAGTGTAGTTCGTGAAGACGAAGCTTGATCGTTAAAGGTAGAATCAAGATCGGTAAAATCGTGATTTGTCTGGCTGAATCTCGAATCCAGTAGATTTTGAGAGGTTGTCGTTCGATCTACGCAGCTCTGATTTGTGCTTGTTCTGGTGAGCTGTGCGGTTGAGATTTGCTGAGATTGCTGAATTTGGCAAGTTCGTCGCCAGAGTAACTCAGATCCAGCCAATTACGATCAAAATTCAGTTAAGCTAGAATCCAGATCTAGTGCGTTCGCATTGGCAAAGTTCAGATCTGATCAGAAATTTGCGGTTAATGACTTTGCTACGATCCAGAATGATGATCGGAGGAGAGAGTTCAAATCCAGTGGAGAATGGCCAGCAGATGAAGCTTGATGAACTGATGAGCATGATCGAAGCTCCGAGAAAAGAAAATGCAGATCGAATTGAGAGCTGGAATGGAGCGCCGAGAGGTTCCGGTTGCGTCGCGACTGCCTCCGGTGGGTGAAAGAGGCGTGCGGCCTGATGAAGCACATCAAGGTGAGCAAGAGGGAGATAACCACGTCGATCTCCACCATGAGGAGGTTAGGATGGAGAATGTACCGCCAAATGCTTGTCGAGTTGATCGAGAAGGATCTATACATTCAGATCTTCATCGTGAGCAGATTAGACAAGAAGAAGCTACAGCTTTCAATCTGCATCAGGAAGACACAATCGCGAACAGGATATGAAGTTTGATTGTCATAAGATTAACTCACCGTGGCAGAAAGAGTTCATTGAGGAAAGGTCGTTTGATCCACCTTATTGGCCTTCAATGGCCACATATGATTATAGGAGCTCAGAAAGAAAACCTACAGATCAAAGAATCGTCACAAGGTTTGAAAGAGAGAATGAGGCCTTCTGTTCGGCAGCACGGACGGTTGATTCGCCATTTACTGACGAGATCCTAAATGCTCTGAGCCTGAGGAAGTTTTCTATGCCTGTTTTTATTCTGTTCGACGGAACAACCGATCCGATCGATCACATATATCACATTCAGTTGAAGATGGCACTGAACACAGAGAATGATCCCTTGATATGCAAATGTTTTCCTACAAGCTTAGCTGGGCCAGCGCTCAAATGGTTCAAGAACCTGCCGAGGGGCTTAGTGGACAGTTTCCGTAGTCTGTGTGATCGATTCATAAGCCAGTACTATGGGAATAAGCACCCGGCAAAAGATATCTTTAGTCTGTTCACTATGAAGCAGCATGAGGATGAGCGTTTCCAAGCCTTTCTTACCAGGTTTAACCTAACTAAGAGCATGGTGATAGAGTGCCATCCTTCTACAGCAGTTCAAGCGTTCAAGTTGGCGATGACCCGAGGGACACCGTTCCATACAAGTTTGGTGGTGAACACGCCGAAGACAATGGACGAGTTGAATGAGAGAGCTGATGGTTTCGTGTGTCTGGAAGAGGAGGAAGCAGCTAATGCTAGGAAGACATCTATCATCTCCACAGAAGAAAAGTCCAAAGCTAAGATACGGCTGAAGCAAGCTCCGCCGCAGCGTTAAACCTCCTGGAAGGCAGAGAAGAGGCCCAGAGAGGATGACTTGATTACTCCACTCAAATTTACGCTGGCAAGGCTATACCAAGAAAACAAAGATAAGTTTCGTCCTCCCTTGCCAATCAGATAACCTCTCGAACAGAGGGATCAGTCTAAACATTGTGCTTTTCATAGTGATTTTGGTCATCAGACTAATGAATACAGGAACTTAATGAGGCAAGTGGAGATGTTGATTGCCAGGGGGGAGTTTGCAGGATATGTTTAAGGGCCAGCACAAGAGCAGAATTGACTAATTGAGCAAATCAAGAGAAATCAAAAGCCGAACCACCATAACACTCAGCCCGTTCGGATTATAAATGCAATTCATGGTCGACCTGAACGAACTGAAAAATTTGAAGAATTACTCCGAACGTATCTTCGCCAAGCACAAATGAAGAGGAGAATAGGCAGTGTCAACACTCTGCACCAGCAGAGCGTATCAACGCAGATAAGATTCGATAAAACAGACCTGATGCGAGTTCAGATTCCTCATGAAGACCCCCTGGTCGTTAATTTAACAGTGGCAGAGTGTTTGGTACGAAGAGTGCTAATTGATCCAGGGAGCAATGCCAATATCATGCCTCAAGTCATCTTCGATCAGCTGGAAATCAAGCCAAAGGAGCTCAAATGTACTGGGAATCCGTTGTTGGGATTTGATGGAAAACGAGTTGAACCAATCGGTACAGTAGAATTGCTTGTCCGGGCAGCCGAAATGGAGCTTATCAAGAGCTTTATGGTGGTAGAGATCTATCCCTCTTACAATCTGTTGATGGGGAGGGGGTGGATTCATAGGGTACAGGGAGTCCCATCGACCCTGCACCAAGTGATGAGATGCTTGAGTCCGGACAAGAGCAAGGTGATTGACATCCATGGGGATCAGGTTGTCGTAAAGGAATGTTACTCGGTGACTCTAAAAGCCGTAGGGAAGGGAAAAACACCCATTCGCTCTGCTAGCACACAATAGCAATTAAAGAAACCTCCCCCCGGCATGAACGGGGAGGAGGAGCTTCCGGTGTAAACCGAGGAACCCCTAGTTGAAGTTCAAATTGATCATTTGAGGCCAGATCGAACCACAAAGGTAGGTTCAGGGCTTGCCGAGGAAGAAAAACGTTAGTTGATTGATTTTCTTTCCCAGAATGCAGATGTATTTGCTTGGAGCCATTTGGACATGCTAGGGATCAACCCCTCAGTCTCTTGCCATTCCCTTAATGTAGATCCGAGCGTCAAGCCAGTGAGGCAGAAGCAGAGAAGGTTCACCCCGGAGCGCAACTAGATCATTGCAGACAAAGTTAATCGATTGTTAGAGACTAGGTTCATCAAAGAAGTACAATACCCAGTCTAGTTGTCGAACGCGGTTGTAGTGCAAAAGAAGAACGGAAAATGGAGAGTTTGCATTGATTTCACCAATCTGAATAAAGCCTGCCCGAAGGATAGCTTTCCACTTCCAAAGATTGATCAAATGGTGGACACAACAACTGGGTATGAGCGACTGACCTTTTTGGATGCTTATTCAGGCTACAATCAAATCACAATGGACCCAAGCGATGAGGAAAAGACCTCTTTTGTCACTGAACGAGGGATCTATTGCTACAAGGTCATGCCGTTTGGGCTGAAGAATGCTGGTGCTACGTACCAAAGGTTAGTTAGCAAAATTTTTAAGGATCAAATGGGCAAGACAGCGGAGGCTTACATCGATGACATGGTGATAAAAAGCAACCAGAAGGACCATCACTTGAAGCATTTGTAGGAGGTGTTCAGCATACTAAGGAATTATGGAATGAGGCTGAATCCAACTAAATGCTCGTTCGGCGTAGGATCCTGGCAGTTCCTTGGCCATGTGGTCAACAACAGAGGGATTGAAGTCAGCCCAGCCTAAGCGGAAGCTTTGTTAAAAATGCTGATCTAAGCACTGTCAAAGAAATCCAAGCTCTCACCGGACGCATAGCGACACTGAGTCGATTCATCTCTAAGTTATCCGACCGATGCAAGCCATTCTTCGATACAATCAGAGGTCACGGAAAACAGTCCTGAGGGGATGAACAGAGGCAAACGCTGATCAAGTTGAAAGAATATATGTGGAACCCACCAGTCTTGAATACCCCAGAGCTAGGCAAAAAACTTTTCTTGTACCTTGGAGTTTCTAACATTGCAACCAGTGGTGTGCTGATACGATGTGCATAGGGTAAGCAGTTCCCGGTTTTCTATGTAAGCAAAACATTGACCGAGCCAACGAGAAGGTATTCAAAGGCCGAACGAGTAATCTTATCCTTGGTAAAAGCAAAGAGGAAGCTCAGGCATTACTTCGAGTCCCATCCTATAGTCGTTCTAACCACATTTCCTATAAGGGTGATCCTACATAAGCCTGATTTGTCCGGATTAATGACGAAGTGGGCAATAGAGCTCAGTTCTTTTGACATAACGTATGAACCCTGAATAGCCATTAAAGGGCAAGCTGTGGCTGATTTCTTACTGGAGTGTGATATGGATGAGCTAGATAAATGTCTTGAAGAATCTTCATGGAAGCTCTTCGTTGATAGCTCTTCAAATCAGATGGGGGCAAGAATCGGGGGCAAGAATCGGGGTCAAGTTATAAACACTAGAAGGCACTACGCTGAGCCAAGCGATCAGGCTTGAGTTCAGAGTGACCAACAATGAAGTAGAGTATGAAGCGCTGCTGGCTTAGTTAAAGTTGGCCAAGGAGCTAAAAGTCAAAAGCTTAGTCGCCTTCAGTGATTCGTAGTTAATCATTCGGCAAGTGACTGGGGAATATGGAACAAATAATGAGACAATGGAGGCATACCGTTCCGCCGTTATGCATGAGGCCAGAAGTTTTGATCAGATCAAGTTTATTCAATTGCCGAGGGAGCACAATGAAGATGCCGATCGGTTAGCCTACAGTGCGTCAATCTCAGGTGGAACATTGGCAAGGGTGATTCCAATTGGTGTGCTGTACCAGCCATCTATCCTTGAGGAACCGTTAAGCTCGAATCCCTAGCAGGTGAATGTCATACCATATGAGCTGAGCTGGATAGATCCAATTATTTAGTATATACGAGATGGTGTTTTGCCCGAACAGAGGGATGAAGCAAGAAGGATCCAACTGAATGCTGCAAAATATGCTATAGTACATGATAGGAAAAAATAACCCTAACATATCTTGACCTAACGACAAAGGTAATTAAGTATTGACTAGCCGCCAGACCTCTTTAACTTTCAAGCGATAATATCTCGTTATCAAGGATAACCATTCCTATTATATGAGAATGATGACAAATCGTATCAAGGATAAGATTTGTCATGGGGTAAGTTCAAATCTTATAAAGGATAAAATTTCCACGGGATAAGCTCCATGGGCTAAGGACGATGAAATTCCCTTATCAAGAATAAGGGAAATGACTATAAATATGAAGACGACTCGGGAATAAGGAACACATAAAAAATCTCATACTAAGACTCTTTACAGTAGAAGTTCTTTATTTGAAAACCCCCACTAACTTAATCATCGGAGGGTCAACGGCCGGCACCACACCGGTGTTTGACTTTGCCGTCCTTGTTTTGCAGGAAACGGTGTCGTACTAGGCCACGGTGAATTTCAACCTCAACAGCTGGCACCGTCTGTGGGAACGACAATTCCCTTGAATCAATTAATTACTTGGTTGGGTATATATGTTTGCAGTCCGGTATGGTTACCGAAGGAACATCGTCGCAGGGGTCTGGGCAAAGGGAAGAGTTGGGTTTAAACCTAGACATCCCAAATGACCAGACACGGCTTGTAGCGTTGGAACTGCAGGTCCAAACTCTGAATCAGGGTATGGACCAGTTGATCCAGCAAAATACAGCACTCTTGCAACACCTTGTTCCACCGGTTCAATAGAGTTTGTCATGACAAGACCTCTCGAATCCAAACAGGGGTAATGGGAATCTGGAGGAGCAGGATAATCATCATCCCCGACATGAGACCAAAGTGGAACAAAGCCATGTGGGAAACCGACATAGAGAGGTGATCCACCCCTCTCTTCCACGGAGTTCCCGACGCCATGAAGACACAACTGTCATTGAAAAGACAGAGGAGATTTCCCACATTGACTTAGAGATGCAGGATCTCAAGGCAAAGATGGAGTATGTGATGTAGGCCATGAAGGGGAAAGGCATTGCGGCCATAGATGGTTTGGTGCAGAAGACCAACTTGTCATTCAACCCCTCGGTTATGAAATGCCCCTTGCCAAGCAAATTTAAAATGCCCATAATTGAGAGTTTCGACGGAACTAAAGATCCCCTTGACCACTTGGAGACTTTTTAAGCGCTTATGCACGTGCATGCGATGCCAGATGAGATCATGTGCAGGGCCTTCCCACCGACCCTCAAAGGATTAACACGGGTATGGTTCAACAAACTAAAGCCAGGAACCATCGAAACCTTTAAAGAATTGAGTAAGGGCTTTGTGGGCCATTTCATTGCTGGCCAGAGGCATAGAAGGCCAGCTACCCACCTCCTTACTGTGAAGCAATAGAAGGGAGAGTCACTGCAAGATTACATTAGTCGTTTCAACACGGAGATATTGCAGGTGGAGGAAGCAGATGACAAGGTGGCCCTAGCCACCTTCATGGGAGGACACCAAACCTTGAGATTCTTCATTTCTTTATCAGAGGAACCTCCTACCAGTATGGCCGAGTTATTGGTTTGAGCTAAAAGACATATTGTGATACCCCCGGATTTCCGAATGTGGGTTGGCCAGGCCCACGCCCGAATACCCGAGGATATCAAAATAAATTGATAATAAACGAACACAGAGTACAAAAGAATAAAGAAGAATAAATAAAATGCTGATAAGAAACTAAAATGATAATCTAATAATAAACCTCATAATATATTTCCATTAATTAATAAACTCTTCTGATACAACTGATCCTCCAAAATACAACTCGAGAATCCATACTGTGTGGACCCCTAGAAAATCCAAACTAAACA